CCGGGCCTTTGTCTGAGCCGGTGGGGCCGGAGGGGGCCGCGGCCGGGCTCCTCCCGCGGAGCCGCGCGGTCGTGTGGGCTGCAGACCTTCCCGTCCAGCGTCCTACGGTTTCCTCCCCGCCGCGCCGCTCCGAACTGGGGAGCGGCGTGGGCTCCAGGAAGTCCTCCGAGGCTCCTCGGGGAAGAAGCTACTCCTAAGAGAGCCGGACGGGCCTCGACTCCCCGGGCCGTTCTGGTCTGTAGCAGTGCCAGGGGAGCCGTAAATTGGGCCTTTGTAACGCGGGTTCCTGCCGAGACCGTGTCCAGTCCCCTCTCCCCCGCCACACGGGAGAGCTGTTTAGCCTGCGCTTGGCAGTCGCTAGGTAGGTTGCACTGTCTGTAGGGAGGAGTTCAAAGTCACGGTGGTTGTCTCAGGAGAAAGGTATCTTTGCAAAACGGTGTACCTGTCGTGGTCTGTGTCTTCTACTGAGCTGACAGGTTGTAAGTCCACACTGGCACATACGCAGGGCTGTGCATATCCTTTGCACTTTATTTCGTAGGTGGATAAGTGCTTTTTAGCTTTCTTTGTATATGAGTTGCTTTTGAATTGCTTCCCTTATTTTTATTTCATACAAACTGAACAATTGTGGCCCCTCTATTTTATTTATAAAGGTTCAGTGTATCTTTGCCTGCCTACATCAATCTGCAAGGGAGTTGCAGAAAAGCCTCATGTTCATCGAGCCGTGAGTCAACCAATTTCTAAGCTGTTATAACAAAAAAGTGTTTGCTTTTTCCACAAGTAACTTTAAAAGTGTAGTTTAGAAAGAAAAACATTTTCAATAAAAAGACACTATCAATACATTAGTCTTGGATGCTTGCAAATCCTAAACTATATTCCTCCCTTATTATTACACAGCTCTGTGTGGTGCACACAGATTAGCTTTGACAGTTGTCACATACCACTTTGCCTTTATTTTTATGTATCATTCCCCTGACTTCCTTACTGCAGGTGTGGGCAAGAAAACTTTTCCTTTAAAACTTTTCAACAGCGGGCATAAAATTCTGCAGCTGAGGTCTTGAAGAATGCAGATGGGCACAGTATGTGTTGGAGCTCGCAGTGTGTATTGACTGACCTAGTTCCTGTTTGCTTCTTTTGGTATTGTCTTGTTAAAAAGTGACTCCCAGCTGCCAAGTCTCTCTTTAAGGGTGGGAATGAAAGGGGGTAGGAAGAATAGGTCTTGTTATTTAATAATCAGTGATGGGTTTTCTTCTTCTAATTTTGGACAAAATACCGCTGCTGCATTTGTCCCCAATAGCAAGGTTAGATGAGTAGTAGTTTCGTTGGTGGATGTTACCAGCTGCCAGTCATAAGTGGTGGTTCATGGCCCTTGGATGGGCGTGGGTTTGGTATCTCATCGCCCACGTGTGTATGCGGGGCTCATGGCCTTTCAGTGTGCAGCCTCTTCCTCCTGACTCTGACTTCTCTGGCATAGTCATAGAGTCAGAGCCCAAACTGATTCTTCACGATGTAGTTAGCCTCAAGAACGTCCGTGTGCCACTTGAGCTGTAAGTGTCTTTAGCTCAGCCGTGCAGTGTGTCTGCGGGGAGCACAGAAGATAGTGTGCAGATCCTCCAGCCGGATTGCTACAGCAGACGTCCTTAATGCTGTCTTATTTAAAACCACAAATGAATTTCAGGAGATGAAACCAGACAGAGGGTCAAGTTTACAGATGACCGTGTCTGCAAGAGTCACCTCCTGGACTGCTGCCCCCATGACATCCTGGCTGGGACGGTAGGTGCATTTGGGATCTCGTGGGGTACTCAGACATTGATGCTCTACCAGCTGTGAAGGGTCTGCAGGTCGAATTCTGGTTTCTATTTCTTTTTCCCCAAGGTTTTTACCATGGGGCTCATGCGCTCTCAAGACAGAGTGAGTGACAGTGAGAAGGAGAGTGGGAAGTCACCCCACGGGAGTGGACAAGCCGCAGTCCCTTCTCCATTCTCCACCTGGCATTTCGGGCACAGAAGTGTGACTTTCGAGCTGCCGGGTCCAGGAATTACACTGCAGCCAGCCATGTGGGAGTCTAGCACCCGTCCACCGTGCCACCTGCTGGCCGCACTTCTGTTTTTCTTTAACAGGCAGAAACTACCCCTTCGAGTGATAGATTCTGTTAACTGAGTGAACTTTTGTGTGCGGGAAGGAACCATATTGCTGTCAAATTCTGTCTGAAACCTTGTTAGATTTTCATAAAGTCGATTGTGTGAAGATAGTCACAACTGAGTGTAGGTCTTTTCATCTGGCTATAGCAAAAAGTTTGTTTCGGGTTGCCCTATACATCTCTGAAGATTCTGGTTGAGTTAACTTACTGGCTTGATTTCTTCTTTTTTAAAAGAATTATTTTAACTTGTTTATTTTAATTTGAGCAGAAAGGGACAGAGAAAGAGAGAGAAAGACAGGAAAAGTGGGAAAGCAAGCCTCCAGGTCTGGGTCTCGAACCGCAGTCCACCATATGTGAGTCCAGTGCCCTTAACTACCACGCCTCCTGCCTGCCCCTTACTTGCTAGACTTCTAATATAGCCAGGTACATTTTTGTCCCCTAATTTTCTTGTTTTTAAAGAAATCAGTTGGGGAAACCAGCAGATGGCATAATGGTTACATCGCTGGACTCCCACATAGTCGACCACAGTTCAAGTCCCGGAACTGGCAGCTTGAAGCTCACATCATGGATATCCATGCCCACAATCCCAAGAATGGAGAAGGGATTGGGGTGTTGCCGTCCCCCAGGGGGTGATTTCTCGCTTTCTGTCTCTGCAGTGAGCACGCATGCACTATAGCAAAAAAGTCTTACCAAAAAAAGGTGGGGGGTGTTGCTGGCAAGTGGCATAGTGTGTAAGGCGCTGGTCAGCCGTGCGTCAGGTCCTGGGCCTGGCAGCTGGCTCCCCACTCCCCCTGTCTCTCTCTCTGGTCAGACTAGAAGTGGTAATAATGGGCCAGCAAGTGGCGTGGTGGGTGGGGCGTTGGACCCCCACCTGGCTGGCCGCGGCTCCAGCTTGCTCTTCTCACTTTCACTTTCTCTCTCTCTCTCTAGTCAAATTAAAAATAATAATAAGATTAAACAAATCATTATTAAAAAGAAAAGGATTCAGTTGAGTGAAGCCAGCAGGTGGTGTAGTGGTTACGGCTCTGGACGCCCATGAGGTGACCATGGTTCCAGTCTCGGACCCATCGGCTTGAAACTCACACTGATCCATGTGTGCGTGCCCACAATTCCAAGAGGAGAATGGAAGAAGAGGGATTACAGTGTATCTATCCCCCACCCCCCAGAGGGGGACTTCTCGATTTCTCTTTCTCTAACAAAAATCTCTCTTTAAAGGAGGGGGCAGCAGGTGTGTGGTGGTTGAGGGTGTTAGACTCCCACATGGCCAGCCGTGGTTTAAGTCCCGAACCTGGTGACTTGCTTTTTCACTTTCCCTCTCTCTCTGATCAAACTGGAAAATAATAATAATAAATAAAGTTAAGTGAAAATTCTTAAAAAAAGAGAAAAAATCAGTTGGATTTCAGGTGGTGGCAAAGTGGCTAACACAGCGAAACCCACTTGGTAAGGGTCCTGGGTTCACATCCCAGAACCTCCCTGAGGTCATAGACACACGTGTGCCTATAATGCAGGCTCGCTAAGACTGGGGTTGTGTTGTGGTGTGGGGACTTTTGTGGGGATCCCTATCTCTGTGCCTAAAAGAGAAAAGAAATACATGCTGGTGGTAGGATGGGTGTGTCTGTTTATTAATTAATTAACTAACTAACTTGACTGGAGAGAGAGAAAGCTGCCAGGTCTGGGACTTGAACCCCTGTTGGCCATGTGGGAGTCCGGTGTCCTTAACCACCACACTACCTGCCACCCCCTTGATAGCTTTTATTTTTTTAGGTTGATTGTTTTTTGCCATAGGATGTGTGCACTCTCTGGAGAGAGAGAAGGTGGGGGGGAAGTGAGTAATCGCCCTCCCCTAGGGGTGATAGCTATGCTGCTGACCTTTGTCCTCTGTTCTCTTGGGACTTGGGGCACACACGGATGCATGCCTGGTGTGAGTTCAAGCTGCTAGGTTGGGACTGAGACAGTCGTTGGCTGTGTGGGAGCCCAGCACCTTACCACTACACCACCTGCCGGCTCCTGATAACATTGATCTTAACGGGTTTTTTTAAGAGATTTTTGCCATGGGGCATGTGCCCTCTCCAAAGAGAGACAGAGACAGTGAGACGGAAAGTGAGAAATCACTCCCCTCCTGGGGTGGGGGGGTGGCCACACCACACTCCCTTCTCCATTCTCCTTCCAGGATTTTGGGCTTGCACGCACACGGGCCTGGCGTGAATTTCAAGCCACTGGGTCCAGAACTCAAACTAGCGACAGAGTTGCTGTGCCGCCTGTTGGCCCTTATAGTTGTATGTTACCTTTTCAAAAAGTCAGCACTATTCAATGAGCATAAGTCCCCCAAGTACTTTTTTATTAATTATTTTATTTAACTTTATTTATGTATTTAAATTTGACCAGAGGAAGGGAAGGAGAGAGAGAGAAGTGAGAAAGCAAGCCACCAAGTCCGGGACTCGCGCTGCCACCTGCCACGTGGGACTCCAGTGTCCTTAACCACCACATCACCTGCCAGCCCCACCAGAGTAGTATTTTAGGTGTACTTCAGGTGAACAAAACAGATAAGTGCTAGTTTTGTGGAGTGTGCATGAATTAAAGAGTACGTGGAATTTAAAAACCTTTTGTGATCCATCCACAAAAGCAGGATCAGAGGAAAGGAGTCCCAGAAAGACAACCACCTTTTTAAGACTTCCCAACTGTCTCAGGGAGTACAGAGACAGCCCACTTATTTTGAGGGTGAAAAGCACGGCGCCGGCACCTCCTTCGTGGGACATCGGTGCTGTCCTGGTCTCTGTCGTTGGGGAGGCCGTCTGTGGGCAGGCGCTCAGACATGTCCCGTCGGCTCAGGCTGGCCTTTCTGACAGCGGGTGTGAGATGGACGCCAGACTGTATCTCTGTGCTCGGGGGTGATGCCTGCAGTGTGACCTGGCATGGGGAGACATTTAAACTGTAGTTTGCTGCAATAGTTATTCCTAAGGGTACCGGGTTGTTGGTGAGCCTGCAGTGGGAGAGCCATAGGCAGCAGATAGACATGCCTTCAAGTGAGGGTCCCCAGCCTGCTTTCCTCGGTCAGATCCTCTGTAGCATTGTTCTGGAATAATGGTGACAAAAATCACCAGAACCAGGGCACCCCCAAAGTGTCTACTGTTAGGGTGAGCTACTAAGCGTGTGTTGGACAGACCTGCTCTGCCACTGTCAGGGACACTGTGCCAGTAACAGAGTCTGCTGTCCGGTGGAGGAGGAGGGCAGACAGTAAACAAGTGGGTAGGTAGTGAGCTCTTTTAGAAAGCGTGGCAAAGAAAGACCTCTCAGGGACCTAGGAGCAGAGACCTGAACCGTGACACGGGATCCGTGTGTAGCGTTGGAGACACAGCACTGCAGGTGGTGACGAGACCAGGAGGACGGGTGCCGTGGTGGGCTGTCTGGGATGGAAGGTGAGAGCGAGGCCGTTGGGGAGGCCCGGGCTGAAGCATGGCTGACCGTGGCCAGGCAGGATCCCAGCAGACTGGGGCCATCCCCAGAAACTGTACTCTGCTTTGCTTTGTTGCTACAGAGCACGTGTGCTTGCTGGAGGGCGAGAGGGAAAGTGAGAACTCTGGGGGCGTGGCCACCCCACAGCCCCTTCTCCATTCCCCTCTTGCTGTTTTGGGCCTGTAAGCACAGGCACCTGGTGTCTTTTTCAAGCCACCGGGTTCAGAACTCGAACTGCTCTGTAGGCCACGTGGGATCCAGCCACTTAACTGCCACACCACCTGCTGGGCCCAGAAACTACATGTTTTATGACAGCGAGTAAGAAATACTTAGAAGTATGAATAAAACGCTGTCAGGTCCTAGGAGCAGCGAGTCTAGGTGCAGCTTTGGCCTGTAGAAGTGCTACTGCCCTGCCTGCTTCTCCTGTGTGACCAACGTGATGTGAGCTTCATCTGACTCCAAGAAAACAATGACGGTAAGGGACCAGCAGTTAGCGTAATGGCTAAGGCACTGGACTCCCACGTAGTCGACCGCGGTTCGAGTCCCGGACCTGGTGGCTTAAACTCATGCCAGGTGCGTGTGCGTGCGTGCCCAGGATCCCGAGAGGAGAGTGGAGGAGAAAGGATTGCAGTGTGGCCATCCCCACTGGGGGGTGATTTCTCGCTTTCTGTCTGTCTGTCTCTTTCTGGTGAGCGCCTGCCCTGTAGCAAAATCCTCTCCAAAAAAAAGACAAAAAACAAAAAAAAACCCCAGTGATGGGAAGCCAGCTGTCTGCCCCAGCCAGTGGCAGCACTCTTGCCGATGGTACTGAGGCTACCTGGTGAGCGTGGCCCTCTGAGTAGGCAGCCTGAGCGTCGGACGCTGCACACCTCCCTGACTTGGAACAATGAGGATTTCATAAGCTTTGAGGTTTTTTGTCGTTTATTACTGGAGGGGCCGGGAATGGAAGAACACTCAGCCCTGTGAAATTCAGCTCCCCGTGTACAGGGAGAAGAGCCAGCTCATGAAAGTTCTGAAATGGTTTTGAACACGGTTGTAGTTTCGGGTTAAAGGAGCTCCTGAGTCCGTCTTTTTTCTAACTAGGTGTGTAGGTGGACGTCTTAGTTGAGATGTTCGGGCTCGTCTGTGTCTGCGACTCGGGGCCGCAGTCCTCAGCACATGGGCGCCTGGGTGGTCACGGCGGCACCTGCGCGCGCAGTCCCGTGTGCAGGCCGAGGCGAGGGCCGGCCGGGCCCAGCTGCTCCCCACTGGCCACGCACAGCTGGCCCTTGCAGCACAGACTTGGCCTCCCTGGCAGGGCCGTTGTTTCTCAGGGGCCTCCGAGCTCGGTCACTGCCTACGTCATTTACCAGGAGAGAGCTGGGAGGAGTTACGTGGCTCTCAGTTGGCCTGTTTGGCCTTTTTTACAGCATTTTGCTCTGTAAGGTGCATGAGTTTGCCAGAGAAAGAGTGAGAGGAGGTGGGAAATCACCCCAGGGCGATGGCAGGCCGCGTTCTCAGTCTCGGGTCCTCTTGGGACTTTGAGTGCGCTGGTGCACTCCCAGACCTGTAGGGTCAGGGCCATGCAGTTGGTCACGTGGAGCCTGGTTGCTGTGACCACCGTGCTGCTGGCTGGCTCTCGATCTGCCTGGTTTTTTCTCTTCAGGATGCAAAGAGCTGCACACAGCCAGGGTGTGTCATACGGAGTAAACCCGATGCCTGTCTGCACCCCCCCTTGTTTCTTTGTATTTTTAAAAATTACTTATTTGTTGGGGAACCACCAGATAGTGAGGTGGTTACGGTGCTGGACACTCCCACATGGCTGATCACGGTTCGAGTCCCAGACCTGGTGGCCTGCTTTCTCAATTTTCTCTCTCTCTTTATGTCTCTCTCAGATCAAATTAAAATAAACAAATAAAAATTTAGAAAAATATTTATTTATATATTATTACTACTATTGTTTTTAAATTTGCTCTAGGGCACGTGTGTTCCACCAGAGAGAGACAGAGCGGGAAGAAGGGGTCGTATGAAAGCCAATCACCAGGTCCAGGACTCACTGCAAGCAGCCATGTGGGAGTGTGGTACCTTAACCACCATGCCATCCCGTTGTTTCTCTGTCGTAGGCATTGAACACCTTGAGTAGTCAGGACTGCAAGGTGGGGGCCAGAAGGTGGCTTGCTTGTTAAGGTGCTGGACTCCCACGTGGGCAGCTGTGGTTTGAGTCCCAGACCTGGCAGTTTGAAAACCACGCCAGGAACATGTGAGTATGTGCCCAGTATCTCAGCAGGAGGATGGAGGCAAGGGATTGTGGCGTGGCCGTCTCCTCTTGGGATGATGATTTCTCACTTCCCTTTCACCGTCTTTCGCTCTCTGGTGAGCCTGTGCCCAAAAACCAGGAAGAAAGGTTGCATGGAGGAATGCCTGGGACTTGCTGCAGTGGCACCATTTTCTGTCCCTACCTTATCAGTCTCTCCCTCCCAATGGTGTTATTAACTGAAAGTAAAGCTAGGAGAAGCTAATTAATGGGACCAGCAGGTGGCGTAATGGTCACCACAGTTCAAGTCCCTGACTCAGCAGCTTGAGACTCATCATGCTGGATGTGCGTGCCCAAAATCCCAAGAGGAGCATGGAGGTGAAGGGATTGCGGCATGGCCATCCTCCCTGGGGGTGATTTCTTACTTTCTGTCTTTTTGTCTCTGGCAAATGCACATGCCCTATAGCAAAAAGTTCTCTTAAAAAATAAAAAGAAAGAAAAAGAAAAGGCTAATTACTGTGGTTGCCATGGCTACAATCCAGTTATTTCTTGGTCTAAAAGAGCTGTAAACCTTTATATTGTTTAATGCCTTAGTTCCAAATGTTCTATAGTCATGGCAGTAAAACATATAAGGTGATACATAGCATTTCAGCTGTCTTCTGTTTCTTAATTTTGTTATCATACCTTCAGGATTTAAAAAAAAAATACTGTTTATGGGGACCAGCAGGTGGCATGGTGGTTAAAGTGCTGGACACTCCCACATGGCTGACCACGGTTCAAGTCTTGGACCTGGTAGCTTGCTTTCTCACTTTCCCTCTCTTTCTCTCTCTCTCTCTGGATTTCTCTCTCTGGTCAAATTAAAAAATGAATGAATAAATAAAATTAAATAAAATAAATATTTAAAAAAAATAGTTTATTTTGGTGACAGTTGAAATACCAGGTTATGTTGTGTGCTTTCTACAATGGAGAGATGTAAATTTTATTTCGTTTCTTTCCCACAGCGCATGGATTTGGGAGAATGTACAAAAATCCACGATCTGGCCCTTCGAGCAGATTATGAGATTGCAAGTAAAGAGAGAGACCTGTTCTTTGAACTGGATGTAAGTTTACTTGGTATGAATGCATCCCCACTTTAGAGAGCCACGCATCACACTGAGAGAATAGTGCACATATGCAGGTTACGAAGCAGAGCAGTGACATGAGCACGGGTTACTGCACTCCAGGCGAGGCGGGGTGCACAGCCGGTGCCCTTTGGTGTCTGCGTGTCTGCCGGCACACTGCTGCTCTGGGTTTTCTGTGTCATGGCCTTGCTTTCAAGAGTGTTTTCGTTGTGGGCCAGCCGGTGGTGTGGAGGTAAAAGCTGGGTCTCACATAGCTAACTCCACGGTTCAAGTCTCAGACCTGGTAGCTTGAAAATCATGCTGGGGAACCAGCAGATGGTGTAATGGCTACGTCACTGGACTCCCATGTGGCCAACCGCAGTTTGAGTCCTGGACCCAGTGGCTTAAACTCACGCCGTGCATGTGTGCTCAGGATCCCGAGAGGAGAGTGGAAGAGAAGAGAGAACGGTGTGGGCCATCCCCCTCCCTGGTGGGGGGGTGATTTCCCGTTTTCTGTCTCTGTTTGTCTTTCTGGCGAGCGCATGCACCCTATAGCAAAAACCGCTCCAGAAAATAAAAAAAGAAATGCTGGGTGTGTGTGCACGTGCCCAAAGTCATGAAGGAGACGAGGTACGGGGTTGCAGCGCTGTCACCCCCGGAGGGCGAGGTCTCGCTTTCCTCTCTCTCTCTAACTCTGGTGAGCATATAGGCCCTATAGCAAAAACCTAAAAAATAAATAAAATAAAAATTTATTACGTAATTTCACGGTTTCTTTTTTTGAAGAGGTTTTTGTTACAGGGCATATGGGCTCACTGGAGAGACAAACAGAAACGAGTTCACACCCCCAGAGTATGAGGTGAAGGCTTTGTTGGTTAGCCTGGTCGTGGTCACTGTCTCAGTATGTACACAGAATCGAAACATCACTCGTACTCTGTGAGTTCCTTCCTTCCTTCCTGATGGAGCAAGCGCATACTCAGAGTGAGAGAGGGCCTTGAGCACCCTCCACGGGGCTGGTCACCACAATCCCCTTCTTTGGTTCCCGGCCCATCAGATTTTGGGCACTCACTTGGGTGCTGGAGACAGATTTCAGGCTGACCAGACCAGGGTTTCAAACCGCACTGGCTTTTCCCCATGCAGGAAGGACCTGGCTTCTCTCAGACAATGCTTTATCAGTGCACGGTGGATCTAGCCCTAAAAGTGTAGTTTTTCTTTCGGTAAAGCTTGCTATTTATAGTTTGTTTTTATAAACTTAAAAATAACAATTTTTAGGACATTTAAGGAAATTTTATTTGTTATTTGCCATGCAGAATGTGTGCTCACCAGAAAGAGAGAGAGTGAAAAAATGAAAAATTACCCTCCACGGGGGTGGCTGTGCCGTAGTCCCTTCTCCTCCATTCTCCTCTCAGGGTTTTGGACACACACACTCCCACACCTGGTGTTAGTTTCAAACAGCCAGATCTGGGACTTGAACTGTGGTCGACCCTATGGGAGTCCAGCCCCGTAACCACCATGCCACCTACTGGCCTTGAAAAATATTTTTTAATTAATTAATTAATTTGTTTTTGAGAGTTTTGCTGTAGGGCACCTGTGCTCACCAGAGAGATAGAAAGTGAGAAATCACACCTCCTCCGCAGGGGGGTGGCCATGTTCCTTCTCCTCTTGGGATTTTAGTGAGCTTCATTCTGCTGGGTCTGGGATTTGAACCACAACTGGCCATGTAGGAGTCCAGTGCCTTAGCCACTATGCCAACCATCTCGTTGGTAATAGAAACCATACCACAAGTGTGATGTTTTCAGAGCTAATCAAGAGCTGTGACCTAATACACTAAAGAAGACTGTTTGCCCATCTGCCTGTCCTCTGTCGTGGAATAGAGTTCTGCACACACTGCCCTGTCTGTGGAGAGCGAGGGCCATTCCAAGGGTGTCCAGAGTTACTGACATTTAACAGCCACCACCAAAAAGCAACCTAAAACACACAACAAACGACGTTTGCACTGAGGTCAGGTAACAGGAAGCAGTGACTTTAGAAAGTAATTGATTTATAACTGTTAGCTCGAAAAGCTCCAAAATCATAGCCCACACGCAGAAGTCTGGTAACGTGTGTCAGCCAGCAGTCAGACACACGGAAGGGCCAGCTGTAAGGACTGCTCAGTGTAAGAACAGTCGGCCGCAGAAACAAATAGGGAGCGTCACGTCCTTTCTGGACAGGCCCTCTCTTCCTGAGGGGCTTGCAGAAGCATCTCGGCGGGGCCGGCTGCTGGTGGGGAGGCACTGGGTTCCCAGGTGGCTGGCTGAAGAGTCCTGGACCTGGCAGCTTGACATGTCACCGGGTGTTCATGCGTGCGTGCCCAGGGTCTCGGGGAGAAGGGATTGCGGAGTGGCCATCCTCCCGGGTGGGGAATCTCGATTGACCTCTCTCTGTGTGCCGATCTGGCAAAGGCATGTGTCCTGTGGCAAAAACCTGAACAAAAATTGGGTTGTCAGAAAAGTCATGACGTCTTTTTATTGTGGTGTCGGTGGTGGTTTTAAGAATTATTTTATTTCGCTTTATTTATTTATTTATTTTAATTTAACGGGGG